CATCTAGTGTCAGATAGGGAACCAACAACAGACCAAAGTCAATACCGCCAAAGCCCACCTTGGTGAACTGAAGAGTTTATTAGTATCACTCACAGGACCACGGGCAAGGGTTCCCTTACAGGAACAGGACAACTGCATCACCAAAGTCCACCCCAGCACAGTGACAAACTGAAGCCTGGAGCTCCCTGCAGGACCCGTAAGCAAATGGACAGGATGGAAGGTCCTCTTCGCCACCCCTTACTGTTCATGTGACCTTGGGGAATGAGAGAGTGGTCCCTGAGGCTGGTGACCTGTTTACTTACTGAGTCTTAAGGAGTCCCTCTTTGTATAGAGTGTTTCTATTTAGGACGTCTTGAGACTTAAAACCCTCCCTTTAGAACTTTCCGAGTCTTTTATACATGCTGAGATTATAATATAATATATTATCTCCCTCCAATTCCTCCCATGTACTTCTTCAAATTCTTTACTCTTTCTCAAATTCACCTTTATTTTAACTGGTGTAATATATATATATATATATCCCATATATAATATATTCCACATATTATTATATTCCATTATATTTAATATACGATACTCTAATAACTATCCCTGCTCCATCTGTATAACATTCCTCATGTGTATGGTCTCAGAGGTGATTTGTGTTGGATAACCAGTGTCCTCTTCTCTGGAAAGGCCTGTTTCTCCTCCCATCATTCCTTAGTTTTCTAGGGTTGGGTGCCTGTGAGCACCCCCTTCTACGTTAGCATGTCTCTTGGTGTCATCCTTGTGTCCAGACAACCATGTTGGTGAGGGGTCCTGGGTGTCGCTTCTCTGACATTTCTAGGAGACAGAATCTCACAGTAAATGTCCTATCCCTCTAGCTCTTACAGTCTTTGTGCCACCACCCCACTTCCTCCGTGACCCCCGAGCCTTAGGTGCAGGTTATGTTGTAGATGCATCCACTGGGATTGGGCTCCACAACTCCGCATTTTGATTTGTTAGGGTTTTCTGTAAGGGTCTCCATCTGTTGCAAAGAGTTTTCCTTGATGAGGGCTGAGAATTACACCGACCTGTGCGTACATGGAGAAACAGTTAGGGTTATGCTGGCTTAGTAAGGTGGTAGGTTTAGGGTCTCCTCCAAGATCCACAACTCCAAGGCTAGAGCCCTGGGTAGCTGGCTATGTGGCCACTGTCAGGCATGGTTTCCCTCTTATTGAGTGGACTGAAGTCCAATTTGTTGGTTACCGCCAAGGCATGTGCATACTACTGCACCTTTAGGGCTATTGTATCTGGCTGTGGTTCACAGACGTCATAGCTTGCATGGTGCTTTCTGATATCATGTATTTAATACCTTTGAATTAAGTTGTATGGAGTTCTAATCTGTAGATTCTGGGAATTTGATAGTGAGAAATATGCTCTGTGATGAGTGGATTTATTTATTTATTTATTTATTATGTATGCAATAATCTGTCTGCATGTATGTCTGCAGGCCAGAAGAGGGCACCAGACCTCATTACAGATGGTTGTGAGCCACCATGTGGCTGCTGGGAATTGAACTCAGGACCTCTGGAAGAGCAGCCAGTGCTCTTAACCTCTGAGCCATCTCTCCAGCCCCTCTTTTTTTTCTTTATGGTTTTTCAAGACAGGGTTTCTCTGTGTAGTCTTTGTTGGACTAGATGTCCAAACATCAGGGAGGAGTTGCTCCAGACACCACTCACATAACCACAAATTGATGCAAAAGCAAGAGGATTTTTATTCTGTCATGACAGGGCCCTTCAGGTTTGGGATATGAAGGACCTCGATAGCTGTTACAGCCCATCTTTTAAAGCAAACAGCCACAGACACAAGGGGGGGGGGGACCTCTAGGTTGTTTTCCAACTCATTGGATTGGCTTATTCAAAGGGTTACTAACAGTGATTGGTCTATTCCAGGGCAGGAGAATAACTGCATGGTCAGGTGATAAGGGAGAGCATCTGTGGTCCATCCTGACCTTTGGTTCAGTGACTAAATTAATACATCAGGAAGTGAGTCAACATCTGTGGGTTGTATTTGCCTCAATTCCCAAAATGGAGTTACGTTTGAAGATTATTCACAAGGACACAGGAGGATAAGCAGTCCAGTATGTGTGTGTGTGGGGGGGGGGCGACTGTCCCTTTTCCAAGATAGAGTGAGTGTAAGGTTTTAGAAAAATGTCTTAGGGTTGAGGGGGGCTTACAAATGCATTTAGAGTCTTTCAGTCTTGACTGTCCTGGAACTCACTCTGTAGATCAGGATGGCCTCAAACTCACAGAGATCCACCTGCTTCCGCCTCCCGAGTGCTGGGATTAAAGGTGTGCACCACCACAATCTGGAATCTTTCTGGTATCTTGAAATGTAATCCTCAGGGAGGCTTTCAAGTCAGATCCAGTTTGGGTCCTCTGGATCTTGTGTTTTAAGTGCAATGCAATTTGGTGTTTCAGCAATAGGGACTTATCTTCTACCTCTAGGGGGCAACCAAGGGCAACAAAATTAGCCTATAATGTTTTTGGAGTCTTTGGGACAACCCTGTTCAACAACTCAGAGGAGGGCTGCGCACGGATGGTGGGGGCTTTGTTAGATGTCCGTGACTCTTGCAGGGAAGCATAGTCAGCCCAGATGAGAAAGTTTCATCTAAACTATATACACAGATATAGACACATCTTACATGTATTATAGGTATTTTATGTCAATAGTTATTCTATGATTTCTCATGACTTTTTCAGATAGCCTTACTGTTATCCCCTCCTTCTGTTTTATCTCCCTCTCTCCTTCCTGATTAGAGCCCTCTCCTATTTTCCCTACTTCCTCCCTTATATCCTGCTAATTCCCCTCTCTATTTTTTCCCAACCCCAACAATGGCCCCTTCTTACTTTCCTGGTTTGTGTAGTTATTCCAGGTAATAAGCTCACATCTGACGATTTGGAGCTAGGAACCTCAGAAAAGAGAAAACGTGTGATGGTTGTCTTTCTGCTTCTTGATAGATTACCTTACTTGATCCATTTACCTGAAATTTCATTTTTCTTTATACAATTGAGTGGTCTTCCATAGTGCATCACATTTCCATTGTCCATCTCATTTTCTTTTTGGTTTTGTTTGTTTGTTTGTTTGTTTGCTTTTTGAGACAAAGTTTCATTGTGTAGCCCCAGATGTTCTGGAACTCATTCTGGAGATCAGGCTGGCCCTGAATTGACAGAGATCCACCTGTCTCTGCCTCCCAACTGCTGGGATTAAAGGCGTGCGCCACCAGCACTTGGTCCCATTATCCATTTCTAAATTGAAGGACATTTGGATTGTTTCCACTTTCTATAAACAAGGCTGAGGAAGCGCCAGCTATGGTGGTTCACACCTAAAATAGAGCTGGGTCCTACGGTAGATTTATGACCAGGCTCTCGGTGGTTTCCAGAGGGACGGGACCAGTTCGCAACCCCATCAGCACTGAAGGAGCGCCCTTTCCCCGTGTGTTCTCCCGCATTTGTGTCCGTTGTTTTCTTGATTTTTGCCGTTCTAACTGGGGTGAGATGAAATCTCAAAGTTGTTTTGATTTGCGTTTCTGTAATGGCTAGGGACAATGAACACTTTCTGAGCTGTTTCTATTTCTTCTCCTGAGAACCCTCTGTTCAGAAGCCATGCCCATAGTTTGAATGGGTCATTTGTGACATTCTGGATAGTAACACACTGTCAGATGTCCAGCTGGCAAAGATGAGGGTGGCAGAATAACATCAGAATAACAACGTCAGATCATCCAACTGAAGCGAAAAAGCCAGGAGGGCTTGGGATGATCTGTTTCACATTCTGAGCTATCTCATTCTTGGGGCTCATTGCTGGTGGCCTCCTAGAGCCAGAGGAAGCTTCGTCTGTCACACAGAATTCAACATAGTCTGCCGAAGATCTGGTCACTCTGCGCCGAGGGGATTCACATCTGCTCTTTCAGCTTAGTATAGACTCAGTGAGAAGAAGCCTCATCTTGATCCAACAGATTTGCAGTGAGGCACGGTAGACAGTCGGGACAATTATGGGTGCATGAGAAGGGAAAAGAGCCCCTTGTCCTGAAGTCTGGCTGAAGCCTCTCCCCAGCTCAGGAGCAAGAATTCCAGCACATTAACATTTGCTGTGAATGATGCCAATATGGAGATAATATTCCGTTCATAGATAAGTATTTTATATTAAAATATTGATGTGGGAGTATCATATATCAATCTGTTGATTTCATTGGTTAAGTAATAAACAAACTGCTTGGGCTCATAGCTTAGAACATAGGTGGGTGGAGTAAACAGAACAGACTGCTGGGAGGAAGAGGAAGTGAGCTCAGACTCCACAGCTCTCCTCTAGGGAGCAGACGCCTCAGCAGAGACCCACGCTCTGCTCTCCCGGGCAGACGATGGACGTAGGCTAGAATCTTCCCGGTAAGCGCACCTTGGGGTGCAACACAGATGATTAGAAATGGGCTAAATTAATATGTGAGAATTAGCCTAGAAGAGGCTAGATAGAAATGGGCCAAGCAGTGTTTAAAAGAATACAGTTTGTATGTTGTTATTTCGGGCATAAGCTAGTCAGGCAGCTGGGGTGCTGGGGACGAAGCCCCGCTGCTCCTATCACTACAAAATACCAATGAATGAGGCTCAAAGCCTGAATGTTTATGACCATAAGTAAGGCCTCATTCCTCTGTTGGATGGATATTTGATGGGAATCTCACAAACAGCCCAGAAACTACCGACAGGTAATTCCCTTGTGGGATTGAAGTCTGCATGGGCAAGTGGACATTTAGAAGATTAGAAGTGAGCCATTGTGAATGTCCCAGGTGTCCTGGTTGTTCAAAGAACAGCTCCGAGATCTCTGATTTGTCAAGAGTGGTATTCCTCAACTAGTTTGAGTTTTCTATACCACGCTGGTGGAAACCCCCTAATTGAGGGCCTGCTTCATTTTCTACCTTCTTATTAATGCCCGTCCCTCCACAGGCTTCCGGCTCCATAATACACTGTCCAGAAGCGAAAAACTAAACACCCATTCACAGGCCGTTTCCACATAGCCGACCTTGAGAGAGCTGCGGGTCCGGGGAAGTCAGCACCACGCCCCGTTGCATCTCGACAGGGAAGTCCCCGCCCACATGGGGCCTGTCGCCTAGGACTTGTTCTCAGACTGGCACTGGTAGACTCTGTGGCCATTTTGGATGAGGGCTAGAAGACAATGACCTAGAAAGACCGGTGACGTAACCCTGGGCACAACCGCTAGGGAGCCTAGCTCGTGAGACCCCACTGCCACCATTTTTATGCAGGCAACCTCAAGTCCTGATTATGTACCTGCTACTTTCAGTTTTCAAATTTTACCTACATTAGGGTGCGCACGGAACCGGTTTCTGTCCCTTCTCGGCCCTGGTATCCGAGCGCGGACACCTGGGGCTGGCTCTGGACTGGCCCGGGCCCGAGCCGGGGGAGGGTCCCCATGGCACAGCCACTTGCCCCGGGAAGGTCCTCGGCTCGGGCCGCGTTCGGGAAGCCCGGGGCGGTGAGCTTCGCGGACGTGGCCGTGTACTTCTCCCCCGAGGAGTGGGGGTGTCTGCGGCCGGCTCAGAGAGCCCTGTACCGGGAGGTGATGCGCGAGACCTACGGTCTCCTGCGCGCGCTCGGTGAGAGCCTTTCCTGGTCGTCTGGGCTCACCCCGCGCGTGACACAGTGGGTCCAGCCGTGGAACGGGGAGCCCTGGGAACAGGCGGCCGGGACCAAGGGGGTTGGCCTACCCGCATCGTGGGGTTTGCTTTCTTTCCCTTCAGGAGGCGGAGGCACCAAGCCAGCGCTCATCTCCTGGGTGGAGGAAGAGGCCGAACTGTGGGGACCCGGTGCCCAGGATCCAGAGGTGGCCATGTGTCCGACAGAAGCTGACTCAGGTGAAGGACTGGGTACTCCGTCTTTGGGGGACTTCTCAGTAGCCGGCCCATTATGGTGTCTTCTGGTGACTCCACTTACCTGCCTGGCAGTTTCTTCCCTGAACTGTTTTCTTGGCCAAAGTCATTATGCTTACCCCTGGATTCACCTAGAAAGGGACTGTTATTGTGCCTGTACCGTGAATGCTCCCACTCCCTATCTAGTCGGTCACTAGGCTATGTTGATGGGAGCCCTGTGTCTCCACGGCTGTCCTGCTGCCATCACTTGGTTCCCTTCTGGAGGCTCCTTCAGTTCTTCCTGGTCACCTCTGCCAAGTGCTGGGCCCGCTGGATTGGGGACCACACTAATGCCTTTCTTTATACTACCTCTGGACATCCACGCAGCCTGCATGCTCAGATTCTGTGGCCTCTCCCCTCCAGTGCCCCGTCTGTCACCTTGTAGGGGTGTGGAAATCAAGGAGCAGCGTGAGTCAGATTCTGAGCTTTTTCTTGGTCTCGAGCAGATTGCAGACAGGAGGAAAGGAAGAGACCAAGGGAAGAGACTGAAGCAACCCAGAAGACGTTTTCTACACAAGCTGGGCCAAAGGAGCCTCATCCCTCCTTTGTTGGACCCCCTCGCAACTTGGAGCTGTTGCCCAAGGACCCTCACCCCCCTCCTGGTGTCCACGGCACTGTCCCAAGAGCAGATCAGCGTCATGGCTGCCGTGTGTGTGGGAAGAGTTTTGCCTGGCGGTCCACATTGGTGGAGCACCTGTACACCCACACTGGTGAAAAGCCGTTCCGTTGCCCTGATTGCAGCAAGCCCTTCGGTCGAGCTTCCTCCCTGAGCAAGCACCGGGCCATACACCGAGGGGAACGGCCACATCGCTGTCCCGAATGTGGCCGGGCCTTCACTCAGCGCTCTGCCCTCACCACCCATCTGCGTGTCCACACTGGGGAGAAGCCCTACCGCTGTGCTGATTGTGGGCGCTGCTTTAGCCAGAGCTCTGCGCTCTATCAGCACCAGCGGGTACACAGCGGCATGACCCCCTTTCCTTGCACAGACTGTGGCAGAGCCTTTGCCCATGCCTCAGATCTTCGGCGCCATGTGCGTACCCACACGGGTGAAAAGCCTTACTCATGCCCTGACTGTGGACGCTGCTTCCGCCAGAGCTCTGAAATGGCAGCCCACAGGCGGACCCACAGTGGCGAGCGTCCCTACCCGTGCCCTCAGTGTGGCAGGTGCTTCGGCCAGAAGTCCGCAGTGGCGAAGCATCAGTGGGTCCATCGGCCAGGAGCTAGGGGCCATAGGGACCGAGAGGCCAGTCAGTTATCTATATCCCCAGCCACAGGCCAAGGGGAGCTGGATCCGCCTGTGGACTTCAGGCACTACCCAGAGATATTCCAGGAGTGCGGGGAATGGTCTTAAGAGCTCCATCATAGAAGGTGAAATACACACACTGTCGGAAGCTCAGAGGCTTGAATCTCTGGCATCCTCCCGAAGTCACAGAAGTTCTAGCAAGGGCTGGTCCTGGGGACAGAGTACAGTCTTGTGGGTGATTACCAGAAGCGTTTGCACACACACACTGATCCCACTGCCCTGGGCTCTGAGTCTACTGGGCCAGAGTGGGAAACCCACTAGAACTCCATGTGAGAGGAAAGGGCAGTTTTCAGAAGTATTGACAGGCTTGAGGTTGAAGAGAACCTTGTTTAGGCCACTGCCTCTTTAATGCGGAGGCTAAAGTTGATGGCTCTGTGTGAACCAAGCCAGCTGCATTTTCAGGGGCTATTAACTTTGGTCAAGAGCTGCGTGTGATGGTGCATGCCTATGACCCGAGCACTTCAGAGTAGAGACAGGAAGGTCAGGAACTTGAGACCAGCTTGGGTTACCCGAGACTCCATCTAAGGTAAATAAATAACAAGTGGAATTAATTGAGGTTTAAATTCAAAGTATTTCACACACTAAAGAAGGTCCAAGTCTTTAGCTTCTTTTGGAAAAACAACAACAACTCCAAAAGATTCAGTCAAGCAAACAAGGCAGAAGTTCTGGGTTCTGTACCCAGCACTGCAAGTATTGGGTGTGTTGTCACATGCCTATAATTCTGCCACTTGGTGTTTGGAGGCAGGAGGTTCAGAAGTTCAAGGCTGCCCTCAGTTACACACACACACACACACACACACACACACGTGTGAGGGGAGGCCCAGCAGGTAAGGGTTGCAACTCCCATGACTAGATTTCAGTGGTGGAGGGAGAGAGACAGTTCTTGAAAGGTGGTGGTATTTAGCTTTTTCTGAACCAAAGAGTTTGTGTATAAATGGATGGCAGAAGGGAAATAGACACAAAGCTTGCAAGCTTTATTTCAGTTCTTCCCTTGGATTCTCTCCTGTGGCTCTCAAAGTACTTTCTTGCCTGTTGTCTTGTTTACCTCCCCTAACTGCCTGGGGAAGGAAGCAGTTGGAAGAGGAAACCTCCTCAGGAAGAGGCGCTAGGGGCCAGTTATCTGACCCTACACCAACTGGGCACTTTGCCGTGTTCACGCTGCCCTCACCACCAATCTGATGCCCACCCAGGAGAGGCCAGCAGCTTCTGAATCTGGAGAGAAAGGACCTGAAAGCTTTGTCCAGTCTGGGAACACCCTGGGCTAGGCCTTTGTAGCCACTCTTAGACACAGGTAGGGGTCTCCTCACCTGTTTGAGCTGGAGGAGGTTTTAGCTCTTCTGCCCCTTTAGGTCAAAGACAGATTACAGCAGGCAGAGCAACATGCGTAGGGTTTACAGTCTACTGATGTCTTTTTAAAATGTGTATGTCCGTGCACGTATGCACATGTGTGTGCAGATACCTGTAGAGGCCAGAAGAGGGCATTGAGTCCCATGCAACTGGAGCTACAGGCAACTGTGAGCTGCCTGATATGGGTGCTGGGAACTGAACTCTGGTTCTCTGGAAGAGCAGCAAGCGGTGTTATCCTGTGAGTGGCCTCCTCAGTACACCTTTTAAGAGACATCTCGGTATCTGTTGCCCTGAAAACCCAAGCTCAAAAGATTCTTCTCTCCTAGCTTCCTGGCAGCTGAGACTAAGTGGAATGTTAGCTTCACCCCTGCAGTCTCATCTTAGCAATGATGAGTTCCTGCCAGGAGGACCTGTGAGCCAAGTCCTGGGGGTCTGTGGCCAGAGGGTCACAAATTCAACACTATCTGGGCTTCGGTCCCAAAACATGTCTGTACATACTACTCATCCAGAGGAACTGAGTTCAATTCCAGCAACATTCCTGGTGGCTCATATTTGCCTGTAACCCTCGCTCTGGGCCAGAGCCTCTGCAGGTACTTGTACTCACGTGCACATACTTACATGTAATTAAAAATAATAATAGCTAAAACAACAGAAAAAGGGGAGGGCTTGGGAAGATAGTTGCCGGTAAAGTACTTTCTAGATCTGGAGAAATCAAATTCACCCCCAGCAGCCCTATATATCAAAGCTGGGCAGCAGATGGAGTGTCCCTGGAGCTCAGCACCAAGCCCGGCCAGCCTAACTGGTGAGCTCCAGAACAACGGGAGACACTGTCTCAGAGAAGGCATTTCCTGAGCATGGTGCCTGAGGTCACATACGTGCACACACCCACACACGGGGCACTCACATACCCTCAGATATGCCTTCACACTCTATCATTACTATTGTATATTCATACATGTGGATGTCAGGACAGTTTCCCGGCTGCCCAGACCCGAATAATCACACAGATACTATGTTGATTACAACACTGTTTGGCCAATAGTTCATGCGTATTCCTAGCTAGCTCTTACATCTTAAATTAACCCATTTCTATCAATTTGTGTATCGCCACGAGGCTGTGGTCTACCGGTGAGGTTCCTAAGGTTCCCACATGTCCTTCTCCTTCGGCAGCTATGTGGCGTCTCCCTGACTCCATCTACTCTCTCGCTATTTCCTGCCTGGCTTTACTCTGCTCACGATTGGTCAAAACAGCTTTATTCATTAATTAATAAGAGCAACAGTTATACAGAAGGACTTCCCACATCAGACAGTTTTGGAGAGTTGTAGATGCTGTATCAAGTTCATGCCATCAGGGGTGCAGAGCGAGCTCATATTTACCGGCAGAGTCATCTAGACAACCTAAACTTACAATTTAAAAAACTTATATTTTGGCACCTGAGAATGTTATTTTATAAAACATTTTTTAATCATTGCAAACCACACATAGTCACTATCATTTGTATTATACACTTTCCAAGATTGAAGCCTGGAGTTATGATGCAAGTCCTATTGGTTATTTTGTGTGCATGTGTTGAGGATTGTACCCAGGGCCCTATGGACTCTGCATTGTATGACCGAGTGTCCTCAGCCTGGATTTGTAGCTCTTTAATGTGAAGCCACTCACTTCAAGGGCTGGCGAGATGAGTTCCTTGCAGAGGACCTGGGTTCGATTCCCAGCACCCACATGGTGGCTCACTACCATCCACAACTCCAGTTTCAGTGCTCGCATCTGACCTCTGAGAGCACAAGGCACACTCCTGGTACACAGACTGACCTACAAGCAAAATAATAAATATATAAAAATAAATTGTTCATTTAATCAGGATGTGATGGAGTCTGGCTTCAGCACTGGGAAGGCTGAGGCAGGAGGATTTGAATTCAAGGCCAATCTGCACTACAGAATGAGACCTGTCGCAAGGAAGTCAGTCATTTGGAGCCAGAGTTGTGGCTCTGTGTTAAACCCTTCTCAGCGTGTGGGTGGCCCTGGCATAACAAAAAGGAAAAATCTGCTGGGTGTGGTGGCACCCGCCTTTAGTCCCAGCACCCAGAGGCAAAGGCAGGCGGATATCTGTGAGTTAGAGGCCAAAGGCTGTATTATCTTTCTCTAGCCAGTACTGGATTCTCTTCTTGATTTTATTATCTTGTTTGCCCGCATTCTTGCCCATTCCATATTGCATAATGGAGAGATGAAGGAATGATAATGGATATTATGAGGATGCTTGTAGGGCTCCTGCGGAGTCCCCACGGCAAACGCTATTGCGTCAAGATCTGAGCCAACGCTCTGCCGTGAGTTCCCAGAGCGTATTCTATCTGCTCGTTACTCACTTAGCCATGAGCTCAGTTATGCTATCGGATCAACCTCCATGGGATTGCAACTAATTTTCATCTTACTGATTAATGACCCTAAAGCCCAGGGTAACGATGTTGGCAACTCATATGCCAGACAGAAGCCGTAGAGTGCTTGCTTTAAACAAGGAGATGAAGCTGTTGACTTAACATAGAAAGAAAACATGTAAGATTAAGGTCAATGACAACCACCCTCTATGTCGCTATGGCAACACACACCTCTCAGCTCAGCACTTAGGAGGTCCCAGGCAGGAGGGTCAAGAATTTGAGGTCAGGGGCTAGAGAGATGGCTCAGAAGTCAAGAACACCTGTTCTTGCACAAGACCCAGACTCAATTCCCATCACCCATAATATGGTTCATAACCATCTGCAACTCTTGTTCCAGGGGATCTAATGCCTTCTTTTGACCTCCTTGGGCACCACACATGCACTTGGTACAATACATGCAAACAAAACCACTTACACATAAAATAAATGACTAAATCTAATTCAAAGCAAAATAAAAATACAGCTAGCTTCAGTTACAGAGAGAGTTAGAGGCTTGGGCTAAATAAGACTTTATCTAAAAAAGGGGGCAGGGACCAGGAAGATAGTTTAGTGGTAAGACTGCTTCTCGAATAAGCATGAGGATCTGAGTTCGAATCCTAGACCTTCCTACTTACGATCTTTCCTGCAGGATGGAATGTCTCAATACTGGGGGAAACTTCTACACAGCATGTGGCTAACAATCTTTTTTTTTTTCAGTTTCTTAAAACAGGGCTGTTCTGTGTAACTGCCATGGCTGTACTGGAACTCACTTTGTAGACCAGGCTGGCCTCAAATTCACGGAGATCCTCCTGCCTCTGTCACCTGAGTGCTGGGACCTGTCTCAAATAAGGAAAGGAAGGGGAAGAGATCTAAGAAAGGAAATAAATAAAACTCACAACCACAGCAGCCCAGCCTCTGGGATGCTGCCAATGCTGGGCACAAAAACAATGAGTGTAACACAACACCGCCTGGACAGAAGAAAGAGGAAAAACCTCATCTTAACTGAGGTTGGAAACTTCTTAAGCTTTTTGATGACTTAGTTATTTTTATGTTATGTGCATTTGTGTTTTGCCTGTATGTGTGTCTGTGTGAAGGTGTCAGAGCCCCTGAAACTGGAATTACAGTTGTGGACTGCCTTGTGGGTGTTGGGAATTGGGCATGGGTCCATCTGGAAGAGCAGTCAGTGCTCTTAACCACAAGGCTATCTCTCCAGTCCCTCTTTTAAAGGTTTTGGTAGTGAAACAGATGTTAGGTCCGGCACAGGCATGATCAATGAACAGCTACTTAAGGAACTAGAAATAGCATAGGGTAATTCAGCCCCCGTGCCTGACAGCAGAAGCTAAGTTCTGATCAATGTTTCAGCCTTTAAGATCCTTACCAGCGGTGTGGTTTTTCATACCTTAGAGACCTTAGTCTACTCGCAGTCCAGGAATTACATTTTGTGCACATGGATGCCAAATGTTTAAGGTCCCAGAGTGTCCAGCAACCTCATTTTTAGGACCTGATAAAGATGGGGTTGAGTGGGAGGGAGAGACTGAGGCTGGGACAGATCTTCTTGCTGGCTAGCTCCCGTGGTGCTGAGAGGTGCCATCCAGGCTGCTCGGGGAGAATGATGGCCAATAGTCTGCTCTATTTCCCTTGCTGTGATAAACAATGTGACCAAAGGCAGCTTGAGCCCCTTACAGCTTACCTAAATTCATCATGGTTCATCATGTAGGGAACCCAGGGCAGGAACTCAAGGCAGAGACCTGGAGGCAGGAACTGAAGCAGAGGCCCCAGAGAAAGCCGGTTTACAGCCTTGTTCTCCGTGTCTTGTTCAGCCTGCTTTCCTATTCCACCAAGGCCACCTGCTCCAGGTTTGCACCACTCACAGTGAACCGTGTGGAGAACTGGACCGACCCAGGACTTTCTCAGAGGCCCTGATGAAAGATCAAAGGGGACGTTAGCTCTGTGCCCTTGTCCAGGAACAGACTTGGCAAGGCCAGTCTGAGGCTGGAGACTGTGATTGGAAGGTGTCAAAGTAGCAGCTTCTGGGAGCCTGAATTTTCCCCCTAGGCTGTGGTTATCAGTCCCTAGGCAGCTGTGTCTGAGGTATATCCTATGTTCTCTTTGCCAATACTGTCTGACTTAGCTCTCTGCTGACCTTGGCTGTCTCCCTACCCCCATCCCTGCACAAATAGTATATATGATGCTATATGTTTTTCTTCAAGATAGGGTTTCTCTGTGTAACAGCTCTGCTGTCCAGGAACTCACTCTGTAGACCAGGCTGGCCTCAAACTCACAGAGATCCGCCTGCCTCTGCCTCCTGAGTGTTGAGATTAAAGGTGTGCACCACCACATCTGACAATGTTATACTTCTTAATAAACTTGCTTGGCATAAGTCATCAGCCTACATAAGACCTCCTGTCCCAGCTTTTGCTTTTATCTTCTTTATTTCTCATCTTACTTACTTCTTATCCCCGGTCTTCCCCTTGAGCGCTGTTTGTGACCTGCAGGTTAAGGTTAGAACTGAGCCCTCCCACACCAGTCATTATCCAACGAAATGCCCCCAAAGTGTCACCCACAGGCCAATCTGAGGAGTCATTTCCTCAGCCGGGGTCCCCTCTTTCCAGATACTGTAGCGGATGTGGTTTGTAGCCTGGTGAGCTGAGCTGTCTGTGTGACTGAGACCACACCCGATCCTCCCCAGGACCTTATTGTGAGCTTGTCAATCAATAGAAGCCATCTTTATGGAAGATGTCACACGTTCTTTACAAAGTTTGGATGTGGTCATCTCTTTTTTTTTTTTTTTTTTTTTTTTTTTTTTTGGTTTTTCGAGACAGGGTTTCTCTGTGGTTTTGGAGCCTGTCCTGGAACTAGCTCTTGTAGACCAGGCTGGTCTCGAACTCACAGAGATCCGCCTGCCTCTGCCTCCCGAGTGCTGGGATTAAAGGCGTGCGCCACCACCGCCCGGCTTGATGTGGTCATCTCTTAAGCTTTATCGTGCACGTGGGATTGAGTTATTTATCACCAGGAAAGTTTTCACGGAGTTGTGCTGTGCTTAACTATGCCTAAAATAAACTACTCTGGGTCAGACTATTCAAGTTTGGACCAACACTGGCTGCTGGGGATCATTACTGTGGTGGGAAAATGCCCTCGCCCCAGGCTCATAAAAAGTGACACTATGAGGAGATGTGGCCTTGTTGGAGGAAGAGCATCACTCAGGGCGGGCTTTGTGGTTTGAGATGCTCAATCCTGGCCCACTGGCTCATTCTCTCTGAGTGTTGCCTACAGACTGGGATGAAGCTCTTTCAGTTCCTTCAGCAGCCCGTGTCTGCCTGTGTGCCGCCAAGCTTCCTGCCATGCTGACAAGGGACTACACCTCTGAAACTGCTGTTTTTAAACTCTAATTAAACTCTGCCCTGGTCACTCAACTGTGTGTCCATACCAGGGAGAAGCCCTGCTGCTCTGCTTGCTGCGGCCACTGCCTCCACCAGAACTCAGAGCTGACAGCCCACAATCGGATCCACAGTGTCGGGTCTTCTGCCCCGTCCCTCAGTGTGGCAGGAACTTCAGTCAGAAGTTAGCTGTGAGAAGGCACCGGTGGGCTCACTGCTAGGAGCCAGAGGCCAGAGGTGCTAGGGAGATAATGGGCTACTTTCAGCTATACCTACTGACCAAGGGGATGCAGACCTACTGGTGGGCTTCAGACATTATCCAGCTGCTTCAGCAGTGTGGGGTACGGCCTTAAAAATGACAAAGCATCCGAGATGGTGGTGGTGCACGCCTTTAATCCCAGCACTAGTAGACAACTCCATGAGTTCGAGATCAGCCTGGTCTACATAGTGAGTTCTAGGACAGCCAAAGGTAAATAGTGAGTCCCTGTGTTGTTGCTTGTTTTACTCTTTTGGCCTTTTTTGGTGTTTTGGGAGCCTGCTACCCAGCGCCCAAATAAATCACACACAGTCTTATTGTTACTTATGGATGCCTGGCCTTAGCTTGTCTTGTTTCTTGCCAGCTTTTCTTAAATTATCCCAACTACCTTTTGCCTCTTGGCCTTTTCCTTTTCTTCCTGTTGTATATCTTTACTCTTACTCTGTGGCTGGCTGGCTGAGTGGCTGGCCCCTAGCAACCTCCTCTCCTTGTTCTCTTGCTCCTCCTTCTTTCTTCCCAGATTTCTCCTATTTAGTTTCCCTGTCTGGCAGCCCCACCTATCCTCTCCTGCCTCACTATTGGCCATTCAGCGCTTTATTAGACCTTCAGCTGTCTTAGGCACAGTAACACAGCTTCACAGAGTTAAACAAATACAACATAAACAAAAGTAATACACCTTAAAATAATATTCTACAATATCCTTGTCTTGAGAACAAAACAAAATAAAAACAAAAAGAATCATAGTACTTCAAACACACCAATTTAGGTTTCTGGCTTTTCATTGAAAAAATTATATATTTCCCCTGCATACTTGGAATCGCAATACTTGGGAGGCTGAACCTGGAGGCTTGTCAGTTGGAGGCCAGTGTAGAAAGCTACAAGGCAAGAATGTGTCTCAAAAAAGTCAAGACAGACTGGCGAGATAGCTCAGTAGGCAAAAGGTGCTTGTTGCCTAGTGACTTAGATTCTTTGCCCAGACACTCAGGGAGAGCACTGACTCTTGAAAGCTGTTCTCTGACTTCACATATGTGCCATGATATCCATGTACCCCCTGAGATTGTTTTAAAAAAAGACAATCAAATCCAAGGATGTAGCTCATTTGATACAGTGCGTGCCTTGCATTCACAGAGTCCTGCACTGGACCCCGGCTGCCTGCCTGTAATCTGCTCGCTGGGGAGGTAGAGGCAGGTGGACCCGGCACTGAGTGACTGTAATCTGCTCGCTGGGGAGGGAGACGCAGGAGGATCGAAAGGTCAAGATCGTCATCAGCTACATGAGTTGGAGATCAGTGTGGGATACAGGAGACTCTGTCTCAAGACAATAAAAACAGAACAACAAACCACCTGTGAGCTCCAAACAGCCCTTGGTGCCCTTTAAGAGCACTGGAGTGAATCTGCTGGAGCAGCACACGAGAGAACCAGACAAAGGAAAGGCCAGCTTGAGATGAGAGGCTCAAGTCCACCATGCCGTCATCAACAAATGGGCACTGGACTTAAGGTTAAGGGACTAATATTGAAGCTAAAGGGAACCTTTTGTTTTCTGAAGCTTTCAGGGCCTTGTGAGTCTGTTGTCTGTTTCTTTGTGATTGGAGTTCAGTGTAGCACAGGTAATGGAGCACTCCTGCCTTGGTGGAGCACTCCCGCCTCATTGTGAATGCCTTCCCAGGGAAACATCTGTGTTCAGCACTTTAATTGTTATTTTGTGTGTATGGGTGTATTTATATGTGCATCTGTGCTCTCTCTATGTGAGTGCCTAGTCATTGCAGGCCAGAAGAGGGCATCAGGTCCCCTGGAACTGGTGTCACAGATGGTGGTAGACACTCCAGTGATAGACACACACACACACACGGGCCCTCTGGAAGAGCAGCCAGTACTTTAAACTTCTGCAGCTCCTCCGTATTTTTTTTTTTAATTCATCCATTCCTGTTTCCAACTTCCTTGGGAGAATAAAACCAAGATCTTCCAAAACACAGGGTTGTTTGTTTGTTTGTGGTGCCAGGGTTCAGGCCCTCACACACACTGGGCAAGTGTTCTCCCAGCTCCATTCCCTGTTGGAACCTCAGAAAGTCACAGGAAATTTGGAGAAAATGCCCTGCTCGGGTAGAACAATGGAGAGGCCATCCCACTAGCCTTCAAATCTGACGCCCCCCTCCCTCCCGCCAGGTCACCCTAAACTCCAAGCTTTTTTCTGGGTGATTAGCTCACATGCCACCTTGTCACGGGACATGGAAGTCCAGCTTGCTGAACCAGTTCCCTGTTCAGACTCAAGCCAAAAGTGCCGCTATCTTCAGCCTGTCAATTACAAGGTGCCACACTTACTATTTTGAGGTCCAAGCACTTTCAAGTTTGCCAGGCTTGCCCAGGGCCCAGAAATGTGACCCAAATCCTCTACTTTCTGCTGTTACCTAACCTCCCATTATTTAATCGATCCTTCCTTGGGTCATGAGACCCCTTAGGTCCAGCCACACTCATTCTCAGTTCATTAATCTTGGTGTTTGCCCTCTCCAGAGGCGGGCTCTCGCTGTCTGTTATAACGTGTGGAGGTTCTGCTACAGCGGGATCTTACGCCAGGAGGAGGCGCTCCTCACAGCTTCCCTGGCCTGGAGAGCAGCAGATGCGGTGTTCCAACAGATCCCAGCCAAATCTCCCGTAAGATTTGCATGTCTTTCTAGAAAAAGGGCTTACGAAGATGTTTATGGTCCAAAGAAGCTGAACCCTCCTGTAGGCTATCCCTTGGAGTCAGTGGGAGAAACCCAAAGATCTCAGACTCATCAGTGCTGTACAGAAAATAATCAATTGTTTGTAAATCACTTACATTTGGGTGGGGGTTCAAGACAGGATTGTTTATTTTATTTTCTTGGTTGGCAACTGAATTTTGGACCACACACACATTTAGCAAGCATTCTACTACTGGGTTTGCTCACAGTCTCCCTAGATTACTAACAATATCCACAACAGCGTAGCTCTAAGTGATAAGTATCGGATCCCTGGTTATTGGAGGAATAAAACCAGAGCGGACTTCCCAACCCTATGGAAATAGTTATGACACTATACTGTCCGGGGAGTTCTGGCATGGCGTGTTTAGCACAGACAGAAGCCACCACCACTACCCCCAGTGCCCTGGGAATGCTAAACAATCATTCTTTATTTCTGAGTTACATTCTCAACCCTTCAAATATTTTTGGTCTGTTCGGTTGAATCAGTTAGTGCAGAACCTACAGATAAGGAACAGTGGTATTTTCAAAGTAAGGCCTCCTTGCTATAGTGTTGTGGTTTTTTTTTTTTTTTTTTTTTTTTTAATGTCGCTTGCCCTCTTTGCAGCGGAGACTCCCAGGCCATCAGCCATATCAAGATGACATCACCATTCCTTTTCCAACCACTGGATGTGAGAAACTCATTGAACTGGACAGTGAGCAGAAGCTGCTGCTGGTGCTCCAGACAAAGACCAGAAGGCCAATGCAGTCTGAACCAGTGGCATAATAGCGAAAATTCCCCATGTAGCAGGGTTCTTGACTGAGTGTGTCTGCTGTTGAAGGACATTTCTTTCTAGATCAAGAACTGGAGAGAGAAAATGCAAATCTGCTAGGGAGATGCACTGTGGATGCCAACTGGAGTGTTTTCTACTTGGTTATGAAGAAGAGGAGGAGAAGGAAAGGGAGGAGGAAGAAGAGAAGGCAGTGACTAGGTATCTAATCCAGTTGGTAGAGTGTTTGTCTAGTACTCATAAAGCCCATGGTAAAATTTTGGC